TTGTAACTCTATTAATAATAACTCAATCGCTTTGAGTTTTTGGTATTTTTTACATTGAATCATTAAAAAAATGTCCTCAAAATTTCAACTTTCCACTCACTTTAGTTTTTGAGTGAAAAAATTGTTTGTAAAGTATTACTTTATAAAACATCATTATTTTAAAAAATCGTAACTCCATTAATAATAACTCAATCGCTTTGAGTTTCTGGTATTTTTTACATTAAATCATTAGGAAAAAGTTCTCAAAATTTCAACTTTCTACTTACTTTAGTTTTTGAGTGAAAAAATTGTTTGTGAAGTCTTACTTTACAAAACATCATTATTTTAAAAAATCGTAACTCCATTAATAATAACTCAATCACTTTGAGTTTTTGGTATTTTTTACATTAAATCATTAGGAAAAAGTTCTCAAAATTTCAACTTTCCACTCACTTTAGTTTTTGAGTGAAAAAATTGTTTGTAAAGTATTACTTTACAAAACATCATTATTTTAAAAAAATGTAACTCCATTAATAATAACTCAATCGCTTTGAGTTTTTGGTATTTTTAACATTGAATCATTAGGAAAAAGTCCTCAAAATTTCAACTTTCCACTCACTTTAGTTTTTGAGTGAAAAAATTGTTTGTGAAGTCTTACTTTACAAAACATCATTATTTTAAAAAATCGTAACTCCATTAATAATAACTCAATCACTTTGAGTTTTTGGTATTTTTCACATTAAATCATTAGGAAGAAGTTCTCAAAATTTCAACTTTCCACTCACTTTAGTTTTTGAGTGAAAAAATTGTTTGTAAAGTGTTATTTTACAAAACATCATTATTTTCAAAAAATCGTAACTTCATTAATAATAACTCAATCGCTTTGAGTTTTTGGTATTTTTTACATTGAATCATTAGGAAAAAGTCCTCAAAATTTCAACTTTCCACTCACTTTAGTTTTTGAGTGAAAAAATTGTTTGTGAAGTCTTACTTTACAAAATATCATTATTTTCAAAAAATCGTAACTCCATTAATAATAACTCAATCGCTTTGAGTTTTTGGTATTTTTTAGATTGAATCATTAGGAAAAAGTTCTCAAAATTTCAACTTTCCACTCACTTTAGTTTTTGAGTGAAAAAATTGTTTGTAAAGTATTACTTTACAAAACATCATTATTTTAAAAAATTGTAACTCTATTAATAATAACTCAATCGCTTTGAGTTTTTGGTATTTTTTACATTGAATCATTAGGAAAAAGTCCTCAAAATTTCAACTTTCCACTCACTTTAGTTTTTGAATGAAAAAATTGTTTGTAAAGTATTACTTTACAAAACATCATTATTTTAAAAAATTGTAACTCTATTAATAATAACTCAATCGCTTTGAGTTTTTGGTATTTTTTACATTGAATCATTAAAAAAATGTCCTCAAAATTTCAACTTTCCACTCACTTTAGTTTTTGAGTGAAAAAATTGTTTGTAAAGTATTACTTTACAAAACATCATTATTTCAAAAAATTGTAACTCCATTAATAATAACTCAATCTTTTTGAGTTTTTGGTATTTTTAACATTGAATCATTAGGAAAAAGTCCTCAAAATTTCAACTTTCCACTCACTTTAGTTTTTGAGTGAAAAAATTGTTTGTGAAGTCTTACTTTACAAAATATCATTATTTTCAAAAAATCGTAACTCCATTAATAATAACTCAATCGCTTTGAGTTTTTGGTATTTTTTAGATTGAATCATTAGGAAAAAGTTCTCAAAATTTCAACTTTCCACTCACTTTAGTTTTTGAGTGAAAAAATTGTTTGTAAAGTATTACTTTACAAAACATCATTATTTTAAAAAATTGTAACTCTATTAATAATAACTCAATCGCTTTGAGTTTTTGGTATTTTTTACATTGAATCATTAAAAAAATGTCCTCAAAATTTCAACTTTCCACTCACTTTAGTTTTTGAGTGAAAAAATTGTTTGTAAAGTATTACTTTACAAAACATCATTATTTCAAAAAATTGTAACTCCATTAATAATAACTCAATCTTTTTGAGTTTTTGGTATTTTTAACATTGAATCATTAGGAAAAAGTCCTCAAAATTTCAACTTTCCACTCACTTTAGTTTTTGAGTGAAAAAATTGTTTGTGAAGTCTGACTTTACAAAACATCATTATTTTAAAAAATTGTAACTCCATTAATAATAACTCAATCGCTTTGAGTTTTTGGTATTTTTTACATTGAATCATTAGGAAAAAGTTCTCAAAATTTCAACTTTCTACTTACTTTAGTTTTTGAGTGAAAAAATTGTTTGTAAAGTATTACTTTACAAAACATCATTATTTTTAAAAATTGTAACTCCATTAATAATAACTCAATCGCTTTGAGTTTTTGGTATTTTTTACATTGAATCATTAAAAAAATGTCCTCAAAATTTCAACTTTCCACTCACTTTAGTTTTTGAGTGAAAAACTTGTTTGTAAAGTATTACTTTACAAAACATCATTATTTTTAAAAATTGTAACTCCATTAATAATAACTCAATCGCTTTGAGTTTTTGGTATTTTTTACATTGAATCATTAGGAAAAAGTCCTCAAAATTTCAACTTTCCACTCACTTTAGTTTTTGAGTGAAAAAATTGTTTGTAAAGTATTACTTTACAAAACATCATTATTTTAAAAAATTGTAACTCTATTAATAATAACTCAATCGCTTTGAGTTTTTGGTATTTTTTACATTGAATCATTAAAAAAATGTCCTCAAAATTTCAACTTTCCACTCACTTTAGTTTTTGAGTGAAAAAATTGTTTGTAAAGTATTACTTTATAAAACATCATTATTTTAAAAAATCGTAACTCCATTAATAATAACTCAATCGCTTTGAGTTTTTGGTATTTTTTACATTAAATCATTAGGAAAAAGTTCTCAAAATTTCAACTTTCTACTTACTTTAGTTTTTGAGTGAAAAAATTGTTTGTAAAGTATTACTTTACAAAACATCATTATTTTAAAAAATCGTAACTCCATTAATAATAACTCAATCACTTTGAGTTTTTGGTATTTTTTACATTAAATCATTAGGAAAAAGTTCTCAAAATTTCAACTTTCTGCTTACTTTAGTTTTTGAGTGAAAAAATTGTTTGTAAAGTATTACTTTATAAAACATCATTATTTTAAAAAATCGTAACTCCATTAATAATAACTCAATCGCTTTGAGTTTTTGGTATTTTTTACATTAAATCATTAGGAAAAAGTTCTCAAAATTTCAACTTTCTGCTTACTTTAGTTTTTGAGTGAAAAAATTGTTTGTGAAGTCTTACTGTACAAAATATCATTATTTTCAAAAATTGTAACTCTATTAATAATAACTCAATCGCTTTGAGTTTTTGGTATTTTTTACATTGAATCATTAAAAAAATGTCCTCAAAATTTCAACTTTCCACTCACTTTAGTTTTTGAGTGAAAAAATTGTTTGTAAAGTATTACTTTATAAAACATCATTATTTTAAAAAATCGTAACTCCATTAATAATAACTCAATCGCTTTGAGTTTTTGGTATTTTTTACATTAAATCATTAGGAAAAAGTTCTCAAAATTTCAACTTTCTACTTACTTTAGTTTTTGAGTGAAAAAATTGTTTGTAAAGTATTACTTTACAAAACATCATTATTTTAAAAAATCGTAACTCCATTAATAATAACTCAATTACTTTGAGTTTTTGGTATTTTTTACATTAAATCATTAGGAAAAAGTTCTCAAAATTTCAACTTTCTGCTTACTTTAGTTTTTGAGTGAAAAAATTGTTTGTGAAGTCTTACTGTACAAAATATCATTATTTTCAAAAAATCGTAACTCCATTAATAATAACTCAATTACTTTGAGTTTTTGGTATTTTTTACATTAAATCATTAGGAAAAAGTTCTCAAAATTTCAACTTTCTGCTTACTTTAGTTTTTGAGTGAAAAAATTGTTTGTGAAGTCTTACTTTACAAAACATCATTATTTTCAAATAATCGTAACTCCATTAATAATAACTCAATCACTTTGAGTTTTTGGTATTTTTTAGATTGAATCATTAGGAAAAAGTCCTCAAAATGTCAACTTTCCACTCACTTTAGTTTTTGAGTGAAAAAATTGTTTGTAAAGTCTTACTTTACAAAACATCATTATTTTCAAATAATCGTAACTCGATTAATAATAACTCAATCACTTTGAGTTTTTGGTATTTTTTAGATTGAATCATTAGGAAAAAGTCCTCAAAATTTCAACTTTCCACTCACTTTAGTTTTTGAGTGAAAAAATTGTTTGTAAAGTATTACTTTACAAAACATCATTATTTTAAAAAATTGTAACTCCATTAATAATAACTCAATCGCTTTGAGTTTTTGGTATTTTTTAGATTGAATCATTAGGAAAAAGTCCTCAAAATTTCAACTTTCCACTCACTTTAGTTTTTGAGTGAAAAAATTGTTTGTAAAGTATTACTTTACAAAACATCATTATTTTAAAAAATTGTAACTCCATTAATAATAACTCAATCGCTTTGAGTTTTTGGTATTTTTTACATTGAATCATTAAAAAAATGTCTTCAAAATTTCAACTTTCCGCTCACTTTAGTTTTTGAGTGAAAAAATTGTTTGTGAAGTCTTACTTTACAAAATATCATTATTTTCAAAAAATCGTAACTCCATTAATAATAACTCAATCGCTTTGAGTTTTTGGTATTTTTTACATTGAATTATTAGGAAAAAGTCCTCAAAATTCCAACTAATTTTGACCCGTTTTAGTGATTGGTAAAGTCAAAATTGAACAAAACTGAAAAATTTTAAATATAGATTTTTTTACCAAAATTCAACTTGGAAGCTCAATTGCTCAAAAACTATTCAAGCTATCAAAGTCAATTTAACACAGATTTATAGAAAATTTAATGCTCTTTTCAATGGTATATAATTTATTTTATTTTGCTCAAATTTCAAAGGAAATATAATCAATTATTCTCAATTTTGACAAAGTGCAAAATAATTAAAAAAACTAGAAGAAATCCCCTAGAGAAAACGTTGTTAGTAGGTAGTACCAAATAGTACCATCATCATCCTCAATACCATGCCGGCGGCAAATCTAAAAATAACCCATCGACCGCGCCAGTCTAAAACCAGTACCATCTTCCTTCTACCTGCTGGCTTCTTGAAATAAAGAAAAAAAAGGAAAAATAAATTATAAAAAACAAGTTCTATAGCCGGCAGTACCGAAGCAGTACTTTCGAGCGGTACTGCGCACAAAAACACGGCAAAAAAACGTGTGTGTAAAAGTTAAAAGTCGCGAGGGTTCAGATCTGGTCTGTATTTTTGTTGTCCGAATTTATTTGGACCGAATCCAGGTTTTTATTTTTGTAATTTTTGTTTTGGTATATTCAAGTGCGAGTGAAAATTAAAATGTAAGCTTTGTGTGACTAAGGAATAATTATTTAGTGATTCTGTGCTATTGTTGTTGTTCTAAGAAGTTAAAATTAAGGTAAGCTTATTATTCTAGATTTTTTGAGTTGAAATTAAAATGACATTGACATATATTTTGCCGCACAACTTTGTTAATTTTGATGCAATTTTGATGTAATTAGGCTTAAAATAAAGCCAATTAAATTCTCTACAAATCACTAATTTATAGATTTACTGTAGCTCTATTAGTTTCGCAGCTGCGTAGCTTTAAAGTTTTTAGCTTCAATTTTCTTAGAAATAATCAAGCAAAAGGAAATTTTCTATATTTTTTTTTTCAAATTTTAATCCCTTTTTCTATGTTTTTTGAAAATTTCGATTCAATCCTTCAAAAATTGTCTTCAAAAAATCAATGTCATTGTTTTTGAAAATTTTGATTTTTTTTCCAAAATGACATTGACATACATTGATGTTAATTTTCATTAGATTTTGACGCAATTAAACTCAAAATAAAGCCAATTAAATTCTCTACAAATGTCTATTGAGGTTATTTTGATGTTGCTTCAATAGTTTGGCAGCTACGAAGCTTCAAAGTCGAAATTTGTATTTTTTTTAGAAATGTCAAAACGGAAAAAGACAATCAATGTCCATATCGATTTTTTTTTTGTCGATATCGATTTTTTCTTTAGGATTTTTGAGTTTTTTCAAAAATGTAAAAACTTTTCATACATTTTTAATTCACAATTTCAAATTTTACGGGAATTATATGCGGAATTCTGTGAAATGTATGCAAAATTCCGGAATTATTACGCGGAATTCCAGTGAAATTATGTTGAATTTTATTGAAATTACGTATAATTTTATGATTGACAATTTTAAAGAAATTACAGGAAATTTCAAGGATATTGTGCGAAATTATAGTGGAATTACATTAAATTTCAAAAAACGTGAAATTGGATAAAACTCTTAAAAAATTCTGTTAAATTCCAAAAAAAAAAATTACAATCTTAAAATTCACAAAATTACAATTTTCCTGAAATTCACGGGATTACAATCTCAAAATTTACTTTACAATTTTATAATTTTTTTAAAATTCACAAGATTACAATATTAAAAATTCAAAAAAATACAATTTCAAATTTTTCTTGAAATTTACTTACCAGAATTACAATTTGAAAATTCACAAAATTACAATTTTGAATTTTTTTTTTTGGAATTCACAAGATTACAATCCTAAAATTACAATTCTGAAATTTTCTTGTAATACACAAAATTTTAATGTTTGAATTTACAAATTCACAATCTTAAATTTCACAAAATTACAATTTCGAGTTTTTCTTGGAATTCACAAAATTACAATCCTAAAATTCACAAAAATACAATCTTTAAAATACATAAAATTACAGTTTTAGAATTTTCTTGGAATTCACAAAATTAGAATTTCGATTTTTTTTTTGTAATTCACAAAATTAATTACAACCCTAAAATTCAGAAAATTACAATTTATAATTTTTTTTTTGGAATTTATAAGATATCAATCTTAAAATTGAAATTTGGAATTTTTTTTGAAATTCACAAAAGTACAATCTTGAAATTTACAAAATTACAGTTTTTTTCAAATTTATAAGATCACAATCCTAAAATTCATAAAATTTACAAAAGTAAAAAAAAAAAATACATAATTTAAAAAAAAAAAATTCAAAAATCACAAAATAAAAGAAAATTTATAAAACAAAATTTTCAAAATTCACAAAATTCGAAAAAACTTACAAAATTAAGAAAAGTTTACAAAATTTATAAAATATGAAAATATGTATACAAAATTACAATTTCCTTGGAATTTGAGAGATTACAATCTTAAAATTCCGAAAATTGAAATTTTTGAATTTTTTTAAAATTCACAAGATAATAATCTTGAAATTCACAAAATCTTAATTTTAAATTTTAGAATTCATTAAATTTTGTTGGAATTCGCAAAATTAAAAAAATTTATCCTAAAATTCACAAAATTATAATTTGGAATTCACAAGATTACATTACAATTTTAAGTTACAAAATTACAATTTTTTTTTTTTTTCTCAAAAATGTCAATTGATATTTGACAATAATGGTTTTGTTGATCAACATTTGACAATTGTTCCAATATTTGAAATTTGACAATTGTTAGTTATTCTGTTTTTTGACATTTGGCAATTTTTTGTTGACATTTGACAATTGTTTCATTAATTGACATTTGACAATTGTTTTGTTTATTGAGATTTTTGCCCGTTTTTTTTTTTTATTTTTTGAAATTTTTGACAGATTTTGATTTGTTGACATTTCTGACACTTTTTTTATGTTTATTGACATTTTAAATAGTTTTTCTCATGTATTGACATTTTTGATATTTTTTCAATTATTGACATTTTCAATTTTTTTTTTTGACATTCCTGACAGTTTTTCATTTATTGACATTTTTGACATTTTTTCATTTATTGACATTTTTTTAAAAAAATTTACAGTTCTGACTGTTTTTTATGTTTGTTGAAATTTTAGACAGCTTTTTCATGTATTGACATTTTTCTCAGTTTTTCAATTATGTATTGGTATTTTGGCAATAAAAAAATTTTAAAATGTCAATAAACAAATAAAATTGTCAAAAATGACAATAAATAAAAAATTGTCAAAATTATCAATCAAAATTCATTTGATGATATTTTTGTCAATTGACATTTTTAAGAGTTTTTTTCTTGTATTGACATTTCTGACAACTTTTTTTATTGATTGGTATTTATGACAGTTTTTTTCATTTATTTGCATTTTGACAATTAATAGCTATTAAGTTTGCTGACATTTGACAATTGTTATGTTTATTGACATATGACATTTATTTCAATTGTTAACAATATTTGATTGTTGATTTGTTTATTGACATTTTTGACAATTGTTTTATTTGTTGACATTTGTTTATTGACATTTGATAATTATTTTGCTAATTGATAATTGACAATTGTTTCATTAGTTGATATTTAATAATTGTTTGTTTATTGACATTTTTAAAAAAATTATTTATAGACAGTTTTTTTTATTTTTCGAAATTTTTGAGTTTTTTTCATTTTTTGACAGTTTTTTATATATGTTGAGATCTTAGACAATTTTTTTCATGTGTCAAAAATGATAATAAATAAAAAATTGTCAAAAATGTCTATGAACAAAAGAAACTGTCAAAAACGTTATAAATGGAAAAAAACTGTGAAAAAAATCAAAAAATTTAAAAAACTTGAAAATGTCAGTGAATAGAAAAAAAACTGTCAAAAATGTCACAAATTTAATTGTCAAGAAACATTTAATTGTCAAAAAAAAGTTTTTTAATTTAATTACAGTTTTTCAATTTAATTACATTTTTTTTTATTTGTTGATATTTGACACTTTGACAGTTTTTTTTGATTTTCGAAATTTTTGACAGTTTTGAATTTAAACAATTTATTTTGTATATTGACATTTAACAATTTTGAGAGTTTATTTATTGACATTTTAGATAGTTTTATCATTTCTTGACATTTTTGACAATTTTTCATTTATTGACTTTTTGACAGATTTTTTCTATTTATTGTCACTGGACAATTTTTTCATTTGTAAACATTTGACAATTATTTTATTAGTTGACATTCGACAATTATTTTGTTAATTGAGATTTTATAATTGTTTCATTAGTTGACAATCAATAATTATTTTGTTGACATTTAACAGTTTTTTGTTGATATTTGATAATTATTTCACACGTTGACATTTAACAATTGCTTTGTTTATTGACATTTATTTTGACAGATTTTTATTTTTTGACATTTTTGATATATTTTTTTATTTATTGACATTTTAAAACAGGTTTTTTTTATGTATTGACATTTTCGACAATTTTTCTTTTATTGAGATTTCTGACAATTTTTTTTATTGACATTTTTTCCTCTATTAACATTTTTGACAGTTTTTCATTTATTGGCAGTTTTTTTATTTTTTGAAATTTTTGACAATTTTTTTTCTATTTTTTTGACAGTTTTTTGTTTGTTGAGATTTCAGACAGTTTTTCAATTATAGGCATTTTGACAATAAAAAAAACTCAAACATGTCAGAAAACAAAGGAAATTGTTAAAAATGACAATAAATAAAAAAATTGTCAAAAATGTCAATAAATACAAAAAATCATCAGAACTGTGAAAAATGACATAAATGAAAAAAACTGTAAAAAATATTAAAAAACTCGAAAATGTCAATAAACAAACAAAAAAAAATGTCAAAAATGTTAATAAATAAAAATCTGTTGAAAATTTCAAAAAATTAAAAAAAAAAACAGTGAAAAATGTTAATAAATAAAATAATTGTTAAATGTCAACTAATGAAACAATTGTCAAATGTCAACAAATAAAATAATTGTCAAATGTCAATTAATTAAACAATTGACAAGGAATAAAATAACTGTCACATGTCAACAAATGAAACAATTATCAAAAATATTAACAAACAAAACAACAATTATATGTATATTGTTAACAATTGAAATGAATGTCATGTGTCAATAAATTAAATACTTGTCAAATATGTCAATAAATGAAAAATGATTAAAAATGTCAATAAATAAAAAAATTGTCTAAAATGTTAATAAATAAACTTTCAAAAATGTTAATTAACATAAAAATTATCAAAATTATTTTCAAATGTCAATAGACGGAACAACTGTCAAATGTCATTGAAAAAAATAATTGTTAAATGTCAACAAACAAAACAACTATGAATTGTCAAAATGTCAATAAATTTAAAAAAAACTTGTCAAAAATGTCAAATTAATGTTAACAAAATAGATTGTCAAGAGTTAATAAACAAAACGAATGTCAAATGTTGACAAACAAAACAACTAACAATTGTCAAAACTCAAAATTGTCTAAAATGTCAATAAACAAAAAATACCGTCAGAAATTTTAATAAATGAAAAAAAATTATCAAAACTTCTGATAAATATAAAAACTGTCAAAAATGTCAATAAAAAAAAAATTGTCGATAAATGAAAAACTGTCAAAAATGTTAATAGAAGAAAAAATGTCGATAAAT